GCATTGATCGCCATCTTCTACACTTTTACCGGAGGTCTCTACGCTGTTGCTTACACTGACGTCGTGCAGCTGTTCTGTATTTTTGTCGGTCTGGTACGTCACACTTCATCCAGTTTTGGTGGTAACAATTTTCGGATGGAAATTGAGCGTCGTCTACCCTTTCTAGAATGGAATGTTTAAAATTTTGGCATTGAAAAGAGTGCCGCTTCCAATGTATGAAGTTTCTAACCACTCGGACATGACCTTATAAAACCTTCAGAAAAACTGCTAGAAATTCGCGGTTTTTGTAGCTTACCTCTATAGCACTTCAATGAGCTGGAAATGGAAACGATGAGACGAAGTTCATTAAATTTGTCGGGTTTGGCTACTTCTTAATGACGTTTATAATAACAGTGGCGTGAATTTGAATCACGTTTGTGCTAAACATTGAAAATTGAGAGGGAGGGGGAGGGGGTGGTGGTGGTTGAGCTGAACAAGTCGTGTTTCTCATCGAATTCTTCCAGACATCAGACTGGTCGTCTTTGAATCCTTTTTTTTGTCTTAAAAGCTGCCTGTTTGTTTTTCAATCACAATTCGGCCAGTGGAATTTATTCATGCTTTTGAAACATTGTAAACATTGTTACCACTTCAGTTTCGCTAACCTAACCTAAATTCTACAAATTTCTGAGTAAACAATTTCAATTCCGGAAAACAAACGGCGCTATCGCAAGATACGGGAACATCCTCCAGGCTATACCTTGAATAGGTTAGGAATTTCAGGGAAACGAAAATTGCTCACATATCCTGAATTCGTTCCTCCTCCGCCTAAGGCGTTGTCTCGTTTCTGACAAAAAGGGGATGTTTTACACGATTTTAAATGTGCTGCTACCACAATGCCCCTGTATCCTTGCGATAGCCCCAAATGATCAGCAAAGTCCAGTTATTGTCTTTTTCACAGTGAGAATGTTTCAGTGGGTTTGCGTTCCGGCTGCGTTGCTGTCGGAAGCGACAAGGGATATCAGTCGCAACGCTGGCGACTTGGATAGGTGAAATCGGTGGATTCAAGGAGAAATGGTTGTGGATCGACTGCATGTTACTGTTGATATTTGGAGGAATCCCATGGCAGGTATCACAGCCTTTCTGAAAGTTCTCCTTTTTTTGCATATATATGCAAAATAATAGAATTTAAGAGAAGTTAATAATAGTAGTAATAAATATAGTAATAGTAGTAATAATAATAGGGAACAAAAACTAGCTTAGAACGCTGGAACTAACAGCGATGCTCTTCCAGGGGAAAATAATATTAGGTTGGCAAGAAAGTTCTGCAACACTCTTTCCAAAATTTTCTTTTTTTCTGAAAAATTCATAGGTAACATTTATGACTACCAAATGGTAGAGCATTCTCGAGGCTTCAATCCACGAGGTGGATATAAGTGCTGCAGTCAGTAGTTATCCAAGAAAATTCAAAAACCTCGACCACTAGTAAATCCACACTCCGAGTCACTGTCTAGTACAAATGTCTACATAACTATGGATTCGTGTCAAAGACCAACACTATCTGCAATAGCTTCAATAGGCATGTCGTTCACCGCTACAACGTGTTTCACCTTTACCAGCGCTTCCGATCTTTGATATTTTTAAGAAGGACGCAGCGTCCCTACACTCTATTACAGGTAGGGCTCTTACAGAAGCTCCACTACATATCCTTCGTTATGGGCACCATTGTGTAGGTAGAGGCCTAGGCTGTGGAATACCAGAAGCTGGCCGAGGCAGCTCGTCAAGAGCCCTCGTACCGCGACAATATTCATTTCTTTCATGACATTGCGAATCACCATGATCCGAAATGAGCCCGGTAAGAAATTCTGGAGTTGCGGCAAGATTTCTTTCCTCTCTTAGCGTAATCCCCTGGTCGAGCTGTAAAAGTGCTACCTATCCTGGACCTTTAATCATCATCTTTATAACGAAATAATCAGACGATCAACTCCAACTCGAAAGTGAGGTCGCCTGCTTTCTTTTTGACCCGCACTCCGCTGGGTTTTGGGAAAAGGAGCATCAGGAAATTTTCTGAGCGTTGAAGACAAGTGGTGGACACTCATGATAGATATATGACCGGTCAGGAGTTGTAAACAAAAAAGATAGAATTGAAAATCAAAAAATTGAAAAAGTGTCGCAGGACTTTCTTGCCAACCTAATAGTTTGTTCCGTTGAAGTGCATGCTCAAAACGGAAACAAAAACACTTTTTTGGCATTCTTTCTCAGGGAATCCTTCGCGGAAAATTCTTGCATTCTTTCCTAACATGAATATGTCAGTTGTGATCACTGGAAATAGCACACAAAGTTTCACGCATGAAGATTCGGTTTCTGAAGAGAAACAAACGTACAAAAACTACACGTATGGACAATCGAAGGTAAAAGGCGGCGGAGCCAAAGGCGAGGCATGGAAAGAAGTTGGCCTTTGGCTTACGTATCAGGCTACGTACATATCAGACGACGCAGTGAAAGAGTCGGATTAAAGCTGCGATTTTGGAGAGTAGAGAATTGAACATAATATTGCAACATCAAAGGAAAACCAAATGTCTGTATAGAGAAAGGACCAGTAGTCCTGAGAGGAAGGTGAGCAGTCCCAATGGACACTGCATGCTGAAGAAATCTACAAAGACAATTTTGTTTTTCTCCGTGTGGTTTTTAGTCTTTCTCGTCACGTAGGAAGACTCGTACGCGCTTTACAGTTTACCATCACAGTCAAGCTAATAGAGAATAACACCTTTGTTTTGCTTGGAGGCCTAGGGTAGGGGTGCAGAGAGCATAAGCGGTTCTGACAGCCCCTGATAACTTTGACATTCTACAACTTTCTAAAGCTTAGAAGTGAGGAAGCTAAAGTTTCAGTGAAATTTAAGTTTTCTACCCAACTCCGATTAGTTGGACCATGGGGAGTAGCTCGCTAAGTGCAAAGGTACACGGTCTGGAGGCGATCTCCCGTCATCCTTCGTCACCGTTTTAGAAAAGCGCTCCACGTCCTGAACGACCTCCTTGGTTAGCGATCGCGGCGTCTGCGTCCCCTGGCGCACGACGTGCTCTCTCGTGTTTTCCCTTTCCTCGCAGCGCTGTGTCTCTCCGTTATGCGGCGGTCGGCCTCTGGTCGGAAAACAGCTTTTTCTGTGTGTTTAGAAAAGAGGGGTTCAGTGGCAGAAGTTTAATCCTCAAACAACAAGAGCTAAAAGCAAAGATTCAATCTCCCACTCAACTTATATACGGCTTAAGGCCTTCGTCAAAACATTACATCGAGAAGTATGATAGGCGAAAATGCAAGCTATTCAAAAACATTTGACTTTAGCATCAACATCCACTATTGATCGACCATCATATAATCAGGATGGTTGTGAAAGTTCACGACATATAAGTCGTGAATTTCCACAACACTGTGGAACTTTGGCTTTTACTTCCCACCATCCTTCCTCGTTGCACTTCTTGTCTAATTTTTCAACAAAGTAACACACCTACTCGACCCCACCAGTGTCTTTGAGCTTTTCGTTAACTATCAAAGCTGTCAATTTTGGCGAACGCTCTGTGCTGAAGTGTTCTGTTATTCGATAATGTCAAGAAAAGAGTCATTATACAAGAGCAAAGGAGTGAGGAAGAAGTGAATGTTTCCATGTTGTTTTTAGGTCTACTTCCAACGTGTGCTGTCGTCACGAACATCTTCGGGAGCTCAGTGGCTCTCATTCGTTGCTGGTATTGGTTGCCTTCTGATGGCCGTGCCACCAGCACTTATTGGAGCCATAGCTCGAAATACAGGTCAGATTCATCACAATCTCTTGACAGGAGGCTCTCTTTTATTATTCACAGTACTTTTTTTGATTCCTACGAAGATTCATCTCCCTCTTTACTGTATCGGAGAATAGATTTCCTATTAGTACTCTGCTACTTTTGTAAAAAAAATTTCCTTTAGATTGGCGTATGACAGAGTATTCACCATGGAACAACGGCACCAAAGTTGAGGCAATACCCGAAGACAAAAGAAACATGGTCGTTCCACTCGTATTCCAGTATCTCACCCCTAAATGGGTGGCATTCATAGGTATGTGTTAAAAATAAATGAAACCCAGATTAATATTGGTGCAAAACAGATTTTGCGCATCCGGGTGGGTCCATCTCACTGCTCGTTCAGCACTCTGAAATGGTAAAGCATAATGTGGATCTCTTGCATTCAAAATAGGATACACGTTTAGGTTTGCAGTGCATTAGGCAATACTGTGAAGATGTAACGGTGAAGGGCATCCATTATGCCAAAGGTAGAGGTCGGGCCCGATCTCGGGTATTGTGGCTTGACTGGGTGTAGATTTGCAAAATGGAAGAAGAAACAACAGAAGTCGTCGACAAAGCCGAAAATAGAACCCTTCTCTCCGACTACAGCGGAAAAGGTGGGCGTGGCTGGATGGCTTGTCCGGACGAATTTTCGGGATTGCCAACCGTTGCTTTCTCCGTGCCAGTAGTTGATACGGCAATCAACCCCATGATTTCACGCCCTATGCCAGCCACACAGCTCGGGCGGTCATAGCTAGCGCGGAGCGGCGTAGCTAACAATACTTCCCCGGAACCCTAATACCGTGGTGTTTCGAACCGCGAGCATGGTGTCATCTTTGTGGGCACGTAACCACGGACAGAGGTGATGGAAGGGATTGGTTTAGTTGCCTAATGCCGACCTTTGCCTTTGATAGAAAGCTTCCAGGTGACTATGCTCGTCTCCATGAGCCGCAGATCTTAAAATTGCTCTCAAGGTGTGTTTCTATTCCGCAATGAAAAAACCTAAGAGGCGTTCAGTGGAATATTTCCAGGGAGGGTTCGCAATAATGAGACGTGAAGGAGTGGTTGGTAATGAGTAGTAGTATACCGAACAGGATAGCGGCGTTGGAAAATTGTTATTATTGAAGGCGGGATCGATCTAGAAATTCGAAAAAAAAAAACCAGCGAATCGCGGCATAGCTGGAAAGATAAGTTGTCAGAGTACGGAAGACCAACTGCAATCGTTCAGTTTCATATAAATAGTGTCGAGCTTCATTTACTGCTCATTATTTGATCCGTCTCTGTCTTCACAACCTAGTTTATTCTGTTCAAAATTCGCTGTGATTATGTATTTATAACGTAAGGATAATTCGGGGTGTGCACCTTTAGTCTAAAGTGCAATTATGGGGATACCACCTCGCACCTACACTCACCTGCCTGTGGGAAGACCTTGTTAATTGCACTGAGTTGTCTGCTGACCTCTCCTCTCAGACTCAGTATCGATCATATGAATAATGAACTTTATCACATAGACACGTGTTAAAAAAGGGGATTAAAAACAGTAAAGAAACAAAACAGGAAATACAAAAACAGTAGCAACAGTAGTTTGGTGGAACAGAACATTATCTTGGGAGTGAACAAAAAAGCCAACAGCAATGATTTTTTTGTTTGCTATAGGTTCAAATCAAATACTCAAACACTTTTCATTGACATATTCCTGGCTTGTGTTTCAGTTGCGTATGGTATTAACTTGACTTCACCTTTTTCACTGTCATTTTTGAGTCCGTGAGGGCATCGCCACTCTCCAACATTTTTTAGCTGGGGCTCCTAGTTCTGGTCAGTTCAACAGGTGATTCTAATGTCTTGGCAAAAAACATCCCCGGCCAGAGCCGCAAAATTCGTGCTAGTAATTTTTTTCAATCATTGCGATGCTTTGGCTGAAGCGAATTCCCTCAAGTCGCTCTTGAAATGGAAATATTCAAAAAAGAGGAAAAGGGCTGCCGCACGGATATGTAGAATCACTATCTGGGGCTCTACTTGGAACAGAGCCAAATTTCGAAAAACCCTCGACGAAACTCTCGTGCAATCGAGGACATAGGGTTTTGTAATTACCATTCATCAGGTTGGCAAAGCACAACTTGGCTGACAGGAGATTTTGTATTGTTCAATATGTGCAACAGCGAGCCTGTAAATTGACATTCGAAATTAAAATCGTACCCTCGGTCAGAATCACCAATTGGTAAAAAAATAGGAGAGGTGCTGAAATAATAGTGGGAATTTTCTTTGGTATTAACCTGTATCACTTCTCTACAATAAACATTTCCTGACCGAGAAAAATGGCTAAAATTGAGTGAACAACCTAACATAAACTCTTACATTTTGTGAGAGAACGATTTTGGTGTCTACGGTTTCTTAACTTAGTATGTCTGTACGAGGTCAGCAGACAGCACAGCCAATCAAGTGAGGTCACTCCGCAGGCGATCGCTAGGAGGCATAAGGTGGCAGGTGGCAGGTGCGAGGTAGTGATTAAGAGGTCATTTTTGACTAAAGTTCCCTCTCCCGGATAATTCGCAGATCAAATTTAGCACCAATGATTGAAGGGAGACTTGTTACGCAGAAAAATGTGGTAGCTAGTCCTGGTAACCCACTATACTTGTCGGGGTGGACTGGTCTGCAGGTTGACAGGTTGTGTAATTTTATACACTGGTTTATTTAGAAGTGTCCACCGATCTTAGTTCCTTCAAACCTAGACAAGTAGCTCAAACTTAATACCTCATTCCTCATGTCAAAGTTCCAGCTTTCCTTTTACTGTTATTTCGCTTACTTGGCATTGAGGATTCCTACCTTTAACTTTTCTTCCTAGCTTACAGGTTCACCTGAAGTAATAAACAATTACAACATTTCCCATAGTGTGTGGCAGGGGTTTACATCACTCGCAATTCCCGCACCTCTGCACGCTTTGGAAACACCGCCGCTGATGCTTGTGTATAGCCTGCATACATCCTATTTCGTCGTTTTATCGTCGAAATCTCACCGTGGTACCCATTTTCTTCGAAGTAGACTGCAGTGCAGTGTTCCAAACCAACTTGAAATCGGGCTTCATAATATTTGGAGCGTTTCTCCCGTTTCGTTAGTTCAAAAAGTTTCCTTCCATGTGAAAGGAAACAACCAGAGTATCTGCAGGTTTTCGAGAAGTGTAAGATTTTTTTCATAAATTTGTTGAGCTATAGCCTCATTAACAATACTATTAACAATACTAGGAGGAGTGCTTCTTTGCGCATTGTTCGCAGTTCCACCACCACCATATATGTACATTCCTGATAGAAGGCTCTATGAATTTTTTTAGGACTCGGAGCGGTATCGGCGGCTGTGATGTCTTCCGCTGACTCCTCAGTGCTGTCAGCAGCCTCCATGTTTGCACACAACATCTGGAAATTGACCATCAGACCTCACGTGAGATTCTTTTCCTTCAAAATCCACCCGTTCCATTATTTTTCGAACAAGAAAAGGTATGGATAAGTGAAGTCACGTATGCATCATCGATCTTGATCAGTTTTGAATAACTCGACAAAACAATGCTTTCTAAAGGTTTCTGCCCTACTACCATGCTTCGGTCATTCCGCTATCCCTTGAATTTTCGTCTTTGAGTAAAATTCGAACTGAAATAGTAGTTTGTGCATCATTTTACCTATGATGGTACGTCTAATGGATTGATGTGCACTCCCGATCCTTGATCCTCAGTAGACCAGTGACTCGAGAAAAGGGGCTCAATTGTAATGTACCTTGAGGAAAAGTGCACTTTACCCTTTGCTAGACAGCTAAGTTCAAATCGCACTAACCTTCGACAAGACCTGTCATAAGCTACTGTAATGAGCGCTCGTCAAGCCAAGGGTTGGCTCAGCTCTCCACGGGCTCGCTAGCCTCGCCACTTACGACTAGACATTTCAGTTATGTATCAGCAAGTACAGTCGATCCTGTTACCAAAAGTGAAATTGGGCGGAAATGGTATAGCGGCTGGTGGTTTTGCTTACCGGCCACTTTCCACGCGAGCTGCTCACGTTCCAAACTGAATTCCTGGATTATACGCCGTCCAGACCAACCAAGCCTTCCATCCCAACAAAGACGGGTGGTTGGTGCCACACTTGTCTGTGAGGACAAAAACACTGACCTGCTTCTTTATCGGCTGGTGCTACGTTTCAGAGCAACCATAAGTCACATTCAAGGCCCTAAGATTCTGACGATTCTGAATGGACATAGAGTACATTCGCATCTCAGAAAGACATAACCAACGCTAAATAATTTATCCTTTCGCACTAATTATAAGCAGTGAAATTCAGGCATCAGAACGCGAAGTGATTCTTGTGATGCGTTTCGCCATCATCGCAGTTGGTGTGATGGCTACCGTTATGGCGTTAACAATTCAGAGCATCTACGGACTATGGTGAGCACTATTTTATTTCCTGAATTAGCCCATATCACAAGAAGCAATAGATCGTGGCTTCTGAGCAATTGGAATCCTAAATCACAAGGTTATTGTTTGTTTTATTTATTCTCTTTCAAATAGAAAG